CATGTGCCACCACACTCTTTCCCATGGGGTCATCTTTTATTGCTTTTTACTCTATTATGGCTTAGTCAGTAATGGTTCACTAAGTTCTACAAACTTCATGTTATTTCAGCCCAACTTTGTCCACTCTGTTGTCTTTGAAAATCAGATTGCTTGTAGTTGCTATTCTGCGGTCCTTCCTGCTGTTAGCCGCAGCATCTGATCAAGAATGTTAATTTTTAGACAAATGCTCTTCATAAATGGCTCTCGTTTTCAGGCAGAAGTCTGTCTCCATAGAGTGCAGTGCTCAGGCATCATGTATTCAGGCCCCTTCTTCCTTCCAACACTCTCAGCAACATACACGGGATAGAAACAGCTGATGGCTCCGGGCCCTTTCCTCTTGTGGCACAAAATGGTTTTTGTTTCTTTTTTTATTCAAGTTGCAAATTATAAGTTGTGTAACATGTTACCAGGAATTAATGATGGATCAAGGCAGAATCTTTTGGTACTTGTCAGGGGTGTCTCAAGCGCACGCCTTCATCCCTAGGAAGCCTGGAGTCCTGTTCTGCGATGACTTTCCTGTTTGTCTGCACTGCTCTCAGGAATGTAACATCTCTCTCTTGTGAATTATCCTATTCGTGTTTTGAGTTTTCTACCTCAAATATGACCTGGGTTTTTTTTTTATTTCTTAATATTCTCCTGTCCTAAGAAAGGTATTTGCACCTCATTTCTAAATAATGAAATGTAGAAAATCAAAGGGTTAATTTTATTATAGAATTTCTTGAGACTTTTTATCATGATTATCTCATCTCAATTAACCTAAAGATTTGTTTGAATACAGCAGCTGCACAGCCAGGAACTGAGATCTTCAATCTGCCAGCAGTTACAACATCAGGTAAGAGTTCTAAATCCTTGCTGAAGACTGAGCACTACAAAGAAACAGTAGGAAGGACACTGAGTGCTGCATCTCACTGTGAGCTTTCTCAGCATTGTGCCAGGTGTCTGAGTGCTGAACTTCACCAAGCTGGAGAGCCCAGGTTTTCTTTTTTGTTTCCCTGTGCTATGATCTGCCTCAGAAACAAGCAACAGTACACTGCCTTGTCTCCTCAGGTGCAGTTAGCTCAAGAAGCCATTCTTTTGCCGATCCTGCCAGTAATCTTGGTCTAGAAGACATCATCAGAAAGGCTCTCATGGGAAGTTTCGATGATAAAGTAGAAGACCATGGTGTGGTCATGCCCCAGCCTGTGGGAGTTGTGCCTGGTAGTGCTAGCACCTCAGTTGTGACCAGCAGTGAGACACGGAGAGATGAAGGGGACCCGTCACCTCATTCAGGTAAGGTTTTTGGTTCAGTGCTCTGTTGGATCACTGAGAACTCCTGTGCTGGAAGAGGAGTTACCACCATGTGGGTGCTGGGAATCTAATCTGAGGTCCTGGGCAAGAGTCACAAGTGCTCTTAATAACCACTGCGCCATCTCTCCAGCCCCAGTGTTGGTGTTTTGCTGTGCCATTTACTGTCCTAATAAAAATGGCCAAATCTCAGTGTAGCTGTAAGTCACAGAAGAGACCGCAGAAAGGGAGCAAAACCCCACAATGGCAAAGGCATGGGCCACCAGTGCTACCCACCTGGGCTTGATCCCTAGAACCAGCAGGACAGAAGGAAACACTGATACCTGCATCCCTACTCCACACACCTCAGACAAAAGAATTGATTTAAAGATTTGTTTGAACTCACAAAGTCATTGGATGGATGGGAATTACTCAACAATTCTTTTGCAAACACAAGATATATATTGGTGTGAGATCATTTACAAAATATAAATCAAGCCAACAGAAAGAAATCTTAGGAACACTACTTTGAGTATTTATATCGAGTTACCTCATATGGTTGTTCCCTGTTTTCAGGTAAAAATCTCTCTGTGGCTAAGGAAAGGGGAAAAGCAATGAATGTTCAGTGTTTGTTTCTCCCTCCCCTAAACTTAGACATAGTACCTTTGGACAATATCAACTCACTATTCTAGAAAGTAAAGTATTAATTCTGTTCTTCTAATTTTTATTGGTTGTATATTTGTGTTTTTCTTGGCAACTATAGGCAGTTAAATGATACTGATTGTGTACAATTGGGGTAGGGTAAAACTGCTGGGGCTGAGAGAAAAATGTGCTAAGTGGCTTCTTTAAATATTTAATATTTTGTCATAGAGCCCAGTCATTGAAAGAGCCAGTGAGACTTGAAGAGTATCTGCTATAGCTTATCCTTTACATACTTCCAGTGGCCTAAGTCCTCTACTTGCTTCTTTTAAATTGAGGTGGAGACAGGGGCAAAGGGAAGCAGATGTTTATTACCATTACCTACACTGTGAGGCCAGCAGGGTGCCCTTTGTTACCACGTTCTTAAGTTTATAGGGTGATGTACCCCTACCTCCGCCTTACAGACAGCTCCAACTTTAGTTGAGCACAGGCTCCTTCGTGCTGCCACTAAGGTTTTCTCACTTGGCATTATATAACCAGCATTTTGGTAGACATTGTTGTTGTCACTGAGAAGTTAAACTATTTATCGGTAGTTAATATAGTAACTTGAATTTCACTTTCAGGAGTATGCAAACCAAAACTGATCAACAAATCAAACAGCCGGAAGTCTAAATCTCCTATTCCTGGGCAAAGCTACTTAGGAACTGAGCGGCCTTCTTCAGTCTCCTCTGTACACTCAGAAGGTGATTACCACAGGCAGACACCAGGATGGGCCTGGGAAGACAGGCCCTCTTCAACAGGTGGGGAGTGTTGAGGAGCCTCACTTAACTGATAAAAACAAGATTCATTTTGTGTCAGTACTTTGTTAATATTTACCTGCTTGTGAATTTGATGTTATGGCTTAGGCAAGAACTGTAGTTTTCTTTCCTTCCCTTCCTTTTTTGTGGTGTGTGTGTGTGTGTGTGTGTGTGTGTGAGAGAGAGAGAGAGAGAGAGAGAAGAGAGAAGAGAGGGGGAGAGAGGGTTTTTCTGTGTAGCTCTGGCTCTCCTCAAGCTCACAGAGATCCGCCTGCCTCTGGCTCCTGAATACACACCACCGCTGCCCAGCAGAACTGTAGTTTTCTTTATCATTACTTGGATCTACTTTTCACAAGACCATTTATATTTATGTGATCCATACATTGTCATCCCTGTACTATGCTGGTAACCAGTATTTAGAAATAAGTTTGGGTTCAGCTCTTCCATGAACTTTAATGTCACCCAAAATGTCTCTCACGTTTAGCTTTTACTAAGAAATCAAAATCCAAACTAGGAAGCATAATGTTTATCAAAAGCTAGCACTCCTGTAGGTTTACATCTCCACAAATGTCTCACATGCATATGTGTGTGTGTGAGCTTATAAACACATAACTATAGCGGGTCAGTGAGATGATGAAATGGCTTTACTCTAAAGTAACTGCAGGCCTAATGGCCTGAGTTTAATCCACCTACATAAAGGTGGCAGAGGAGAATCATTTCCCCAAAAGTTGTCCTTTGACTTCCACCTACATTATGGCACAAGCATGCCCAACACGTATTATACACAATACAAACAAGAATTAAATATGTCTTAAAGAATAACCATGTTTTTGAAAGGAAGATTAAAAAATAATAAAGTTGGCATATCTGCTGTAGATTTTCGAGATTCAGATAATACATGTTTTTCTTTCCCTTATGCATTCCCCAACCCCAAATCTGAAATGAGACCTTCCCCTGTATGCCTAACAATTTCATAGTTATTGTATCTATACACTTCAAGGTCTCTGTCTTTTAAACTTCTATTGCCATGTGTAAAAGGCTTATGTATTAGTAATCTCCCACAGAAGCAATGCATACATTAGTCGGTAGGTCAGCATACAACCAAGTATTATGTCACTGCATTGTCACACCAATGTGCCAGTCAGTGTACCTTGTTCTCTTCCTTTCCTGCCTGGGCCCCTCCAGCTGACTGTCTTCTTCCCCTGCTTACCCCTTCTCGCTTTCCTACCTTCTTTGTTCCATTATTTTAGGAAAATAATTTTTTTATTAGATATTAGAGGACTTGATAAAATGCATGTTTTATGGTTTTGGCTTACAATGACAGGAGGAACTGTGGGGAAAGAACAATTAAGCAATCTAGAAATGGAAAAGAAATGGTTCTCTTGTTAATGTGTCCAATTTTAAATCTCATACACATTTAAGTCAGTCTAGTGAGACTGTAGAGAGGTCACACAGCCTGGCTAAAGCTTCTGGGCACTTGCCACATGCTGAGAACTGCATTTCTATTGGAAAGTTACTAGTATCGCTAGGCTCCTCCAATTAAGAGTTTAATATTTAGTAGTTCTCTATTTGGATTCCCCGTGGAGATGCATGATGAGCTAGCACAGACTTCTTATCCCTACCCATGTGGTTAATTGTTATTTATTCTTTTGAGAATTAAACCAATCAAGGCATCACAAGACCATTTACTGTAATACTCTTGCTCTATTCCATCCTGTAAATATTGCATTGGACGCTAATGACACTAAAAATCTCATTTTCCTTTTTGTCAGGTTCTACTCAGTTCCCTTACAACCCTCTGACCCTGCGGATGCTCAGCAGTACACCACCAACACCAATTGCATGTGCCCCATCTGCCATCAACCAAGCAGCTCCTCATCAACAGAACCGCATCTGGGAGCGGGAGCCTGCCCCGCTGCTCTCAGCGCAATATGAGACACTGTCTGATAGCGATGACTGACCACAGAAACTCTGGCTCTGATTTTAACTGCAGATTAAAAAAATTCTGCCCTCCTATGATTTGTGCCCAGAGACTTCTCAGGAGAGCCAGGGCCACAGATGAAGAAGAAATGATGGAAATTCATTTGGAAAATCAAATGGGAAAAAAACAAAACCACCCTGCCTCTACTACAGGCAATTCAATGGATTATAACAATGGAGGGTTAAGTGTAGAGTTTTTTAAAAGTGGACAGTTCCTGTTTGTAAAGGAAACCATGATGTCTTTAAATCACTCTTCTGTAAATAGAGGACCTTTTTGCAGTGTATCCCCCTTGCTGTAGTATCTGGTGTACTTAAATTTAAATCAGCACATCAACATTGGGGGTAATTTTTTAAATTTTTTGTCTATCTTTTTAACCCCAGCCTTCTAAACAACCTCACACAGCACAGTTATACAGTACTGGCTGTCACGGGCATTGTACTTTTGTTTCCTCTAAATTCAACTTTCCCGGTAAATCTTGTGAAATGTTTAGGTTTTTAACACATACCCTGTCATAAAGGCTGAATGAGGTCACAGGGCAGGAGCACCGAACTGTCTTTGTGAGTTTCCAGTGCAGGCTTTGCTTTCATTAGTAGCACTGAAGACAAACTTACTGCACGGGTATGTTAGAGTTCAGTTTTAAAGTTTAAAGGCTTATTTGAGGCATACCTCAATGTTTATGCACACTGGTAATTTAGCCATGCCCCTAAGTATTCTGCATTTGATGCAGCCCAACAAAGCTTTTGTTCTGAAATAAATTTGACTATCCTGTCCATAGCTACAGTACATTATTTGTGACTTAAGAGTCTTCGTGTCTCAGGTTTCAAACAAGAAATAGAAACTTTTCTTTAGTTTGATCATATCTGGCTGAGTTAAAAAGATAACAATCTGTGTAGAACCTTGGTCTTCCAGGCTTGTTTTATGCTGCATCCTGAACTAACACTGAACACAATTCTTTCCTATCTGCATCAGCGCCTGCTCTGCTCCGACAGAACACGAGGAAAGTGTTTTCAAGGTGCAAGTAATTTAAAGACTGAATTTTAAATGATGGTACTGGAGGATCACGTTTTTATTAAAAATGACTTGGTGTGTTTTTAGATTTGTTTTCACACAGCTTTATCATGGTGTACATGCTTCTCCCACAACATACAGACGTTTAGTGGTTTGGGGATGATGCCACTGAGAACTAGAAAGGAGACAGTCTCTAGAACCACTGCCTGAGCCCCGCTTAGCATCTGTACCACTGGTTTCTAATCCCCCTCCCTTTTGTTTTTACAGATGGAGACACAGGCTCAAATTTGCCCATATAACTTAGCAAGTAATAAAGACAGACATTTGAGATCTTAAACTTTAGCCATGCATGGTAGCACACACCTTTAATCTCAGCACTTGGGAAGTAAAAGCAGGCAAATCACTAAAAGTATAAGGCTAGCCTGGATTACAAGGTGAGTTCTGGGCCAGCCAAGGCTACAATGAGACAGAATTCTTATCACCCATAAAGTTTGCGGGTATCCAAAGTATACCTTAACAATAGTCATGAATATACCGAAGACTAAAGTTTGATTAAAGCCACCCCCCACCCGAAGTTCCAGTAATAGCCTAGAACTTAGTCATAAATGATGATGACTGCTGACCCTGAGGGTCTTTCACTGTTCCAGGTTGGTTCAGTTTAGGATAGCTCAGCCTAGAAGACTGTTCCATGCTCACCACAATACAACATGAAATCAAGCATCATTTCTTATTTCAAAACAACTAGAACAGAATCCTCAGAGTTTACCCAGAGAGGGGGAGATATGCCTTACTGTGAGACTAAGGGAGGAAGCAAGCACTCAGACTTAGGAAGTCAGCCACAAGTCAAAGTGTAGCATAGCAATTTTTGTGGGCCAACACTATATATATATATATATATATATATAAAACACATGCACATACAACTAAATCAAGGTCTTCCAGTAGAGGTAATATTCTGACAATTTTCCAGTCTATTTAGTGAGAAATTTTATACTACACTTTAAATTTTCATATGCTGTGATTCTGTCTTACATACCTTACCCCTTATGCCCTGAAAACTCCAGTAACATGGTGTAGTTCAAATGAAATTCAATGTAAATTGTTTAAAGTTGTAATCAGTAAAAGGAGATCAGTCCCTCTGTCTCACTGCCTTTTTTATAACAGTGCAAATGAGTGCTCCAGGACCATGCACCTTGGACCGTCTATCTGAGAACCGCAGTCTCCCAGCCACACCACAGGACCGGGAGGTGGATCACCACAGAGGATTAAAAATCCTAAGACTTTAGTTTTGGAACTCTGGAATTATGAAATAGTAAAACATTCTCAAAGCAAAGGGTGACTGAAATCTCTCTTGTTATTCTTCATTAATAGGATCACATTAGCTAGGGAGTAAGTGGTGAATGAGCATAGATGGAAGATGGTCAGAACTCTCCCTGCACAACACAAAATTCTGGTTTACTTCTGAGGATCTGGGCCTTAGGGTTTTTCTTTTAGTAACTCAGTTATTTTTCTACGATTCAAAGATTATTAGAATACATACAATATTGTATAGTCTCTAGTTTATTATGAAGATTCTCCCAGTACAAACATAGGAACCAAAAGCCCATTGGCCAATCCTGCTCACGTCACCCACCTCCACGGGGATGCCAACACCACCTGTTCCTTCAGGGCACCCAGAAAACCTATCTTTTCTCTCTCAGGCAATGGTCATTTGCCAGGCTGTAGAGGTAAAGGCACCCAATTGTGTATTGTGTATGTGTGTACTCGGAGGCAGTGACTAAGATTTTTTTTCCGCATAATAGTCAATTCATTTTAAGTCATCAGACAAAGAATCTAATTGGTTTCCCACTTAACAGGCGTGAATACAGAGATTGCAAAATAGCCAGAGCTGCTAAGTAGGATCCAGGTCAGTAGTTCCACACTGCCAATGGCATGCATCAGTGTTGTCAGTATTGTTACCGGGTTCAGCTCGACACTACTGTGTGACTGGCTGTAAAGGAAGCTCACTGCCCAGACAGGTGACAAAGTGCCTAATTTCCACTTCAGAAGTGAATGCTGCTTACTGGAGGCCAACTAGAATTATTATCTCCCCCATATTGATTAAATTTCGCAATGCTTGAATAAAAGACTATAAAAGAACTCACCAAAATCTTCCTGTGCTATCAGACAAGTAACTTGTTTGCCAGAAATGGATGAAGAAGAGAAAGCAGGAACCAAAATCTTAGGGAAGGTATAATGACCACACCGTGGAGAATGTGGCCACCTAAGAGTCTACAGTTTTCATGGACCAGATGGACGGCCTCTCCCACGCTGCACTGGGAAGCGGCACTTCACACCAAGCCCTCATAAGTTACTGTCAGTACAGGGTAGAAGCTGCTTCAACTTTACACACACAAGTAGGGCCAGGCACAGTCCCAGCACTTGCGGGACTGAGGCAGGAGAACTCCCAAGTTGGAGGCCCATCTCAAAGTAAACTAAATTTAGAAATAAAAGTGGCAGTGTATACTTGTCCTTCAGCGAGGTTGAGTTGAAGAAAGCTGAATTTCAACAATGATTCACACCACCGCTTGGGATCCAGACATGTTAGAACAGTCACTCCTCTGGGCTAACAGAGATTACCCTCTCTACAACAAAACGAACTTACATAGCTCAACAAAATTAAGTCAAAAGTCTACTTTTTCTTGACAGCTCAGCCAATTCTTCCCTGATGTGCTGTACAGAAACCTCATCTCTTTTCAGCTCTGCTTGCTTCAGTGCTTCCTGGAAGATCTCTTTTGCTTGTGTGTATCGTTCTAAAACAACCCAAAGAAAGGGGAGAAGAAAATATGTGTTTTCAGAGTGACTAAAGAGAACCCACTCCTCGTGAGGGTGTGTGTTTGGTTTACTGGGGACTGTCTCATCACGTATACTGACAACTGGTTTCGAGAAGATGAACTTAGAGTAGGTGTCAGCTAAAGGTACTTAGTGCTGTGGAATCACTAGTGCCCTTTATGATGGTGGCCTCTCCCTTGGGCAAAGATTTCACAATTGTGGTGTATGCAATAGAGGCAATAACCCCAAGTTTTTGGAAACCTGAGTAATATGGACTAGCAGGAAACTGATAATGATGTATCATATTGAGGCTTCAGAGCACTGAGGAATTGTACCTGTGAAAACAATGTAAGTCTGTAAAGTACTACAGAGACAAAACCTGTATCTGTAAAGTATTCTCTACCTTCATGTTGTCATGCAGAGTTGTGGGAATTGTGTGAAGTAAGCAAAATAGTACATCAACACAAATGCATTTTCTGCCCTTATTTAGCCAACCTTTTAACTCAGGGCAGTGGCTCTCAACCTTCCTAATTCCTCATGTGGTGACCCCCAACCACAAAATTACTTCTACTTTCTAACTGTAATTTTGCTACTGATTCATGATGTAAATCTGTGTTTTCTGGTAGTCTCAGATGACCCTGTAAAGGGGTGTTTAACCCAACAGGGTCACAACAGTTTGAGAACCACTGATTTAGGGTTTTCTTCATTGCCATTTGCCCTCCCAAAAATTGTTTCACTTCAAAGTCCAGTAATGCCTTTCTGAGAAGGCAGTCTGTTTCCGCTCTACCTACCTCTGTGTATCAAAATGGCAGCCAGATTGCTGAGCACCATGTGCAGCTCAGGGTGATTGATCTCTCTTGCCAGATCTGACGCCTTCTGCATATAGATGTAGGCATCATCAAAGTGGCCCTGTGCATCCAGAGTAGTAGCCAAGTCACTCATCAGCACAATGGTCTAGAAGAAGAAAAAGCAGCCTTTTCTTTACAAATACACTCACACAGAACATCAGCCTGAAGGTTGTTACACTGCACACACACACACACACACACACACACACACACACACACACAGTGTCTTCAACTTTATAAGGATTCCTCAGAATTAGGGGCAAACTGCAGGCACCTGTTGATCCTCCACACTGTACTACAGACAGCGTCAGTTCCACACTCTGCTCTAGAAGGTTATCGACTTAGAGCAGGGGTGGGAGGCAGCACTGGGGAGTGCATCTGCGCCTCCCTGCATCACAGCAGCGTTCCTGCCAGGACCACCGCTCCTGGAGAAACCCATCACCTGGACTTTGAAACAGAGAAAGAGGTAGCTGGTGCTCCAAATTTCATTCAGGCTATCTGAATTAAGTCCTAAATATTCCATGTTCTACATATTCTCATTGTTCTATATGGTGGGCTGCAGGCATTCAGACAAAGCATCTACCCGAAGAAAAGATGATCTAAATTCTGTACTTAGTAGTCTAACAAGGCTTTGTTTTGCCTCCTTTGAAAAACTATATAAAGTTCTGTAATAGTGGTCTTAAAAGTTGTTTTTTAAGGACTATAGCCATGGATCAGTGGTAGAACCCTTGCCTTGAATTTATGAGACCCTAAGTTTAATCCCTTAGTCCTGCCAAAAAGAAAAAGAAATTAAAGTCCCTATTTTCTCACCTCCCACAGTAACACAGGAGGCAAAGATACTCTTATATTAACTAACATTTACTTACAAGGTTCTGACTGGTATGGAAGACAGTTCTGTAATGCAGTGGTTATGATACTGCTGCTTCTTTGGTTTTGGTTTTTAGAGACATGGTTTCTCTGTGGCTTTGGAGCCTATCCTGGAACTAGCTCTTGTAGGCCAGGCTGGCCTCGAACTCACAGAGATCCGCCTGCCTCTGCCTCCCGAGTGCTGAGATTAAAGGTGTGTGCCACCACGGTCCGGCTATGGTACTGCTTCTAATTGGTGTGCGGAGATTCAGGTCAGGGGCAGAGCACTTGCTAGTACAAAAGCCCCTGGGTCTACTCGCCAGCACCAGGAGAAAAAAAAAATAAGATTCTCACTAGGAGTCTGTGGCCCCTGTGAAACATGAGATTGCATATTCTGAAGCTTTGAAAGCACACACTTAGACCTGTCCTGTATAAAGACTGCTGTGTAAACCACCATGGCTTAATATAAAAGGGTCTACGCAGAGCCAGTGACTGACCAACAATATCAAACCCTCCTTGAAACAAGTAGTGGCTGGGTATGGTGAGCCGGTGGAAAGAAAGGGTGCAGACTGCATGTAAACCTTATACCCTCACCACTGTTCAGCCTGGCCACACTGGTAAGTGATCCTAGGCTCTGAACCTAGAGCCTCACCAATGCTAGGCAAGCTCTCTACCACTCTACCCAGCCCTTTGCTCTTTCTCCTTTTTATTTTTTTAAGATTTATTTATTTATTGTGTACACAGTGTTCAGCCTCCATGTATGCCTGCAAGCCAGAAGAGGGCACCAGACCTCATTACAGATGGTTGTGAGCCACCATGTGGATGCTGGAAATTGAATTCAGGACCTCCGGAAGAGCAGTCAGTGCTCTTAACCTCTGAGCCATCTCTCCAGCCCCCTCTCTTTCTCCTTTTAACATGGGATCTCACTAACTTGGCCACAGCCCATCTTCAGAGCTGCACCACTAGGCCTGGCTTACACACACTATTCCTCAGAACGGCCTTCCTCCTTTACCTGTGGGTGCCTTTCTCCTTGTATTTCTTGACAAATCTGCAGGGCTTTTTCATACATTCTTTGTGCCTGTGACAGCTGCTTGGAGAAGAGCAGATAGCGTGCACAAGAGTCCAAGCACATGCCAAGGAGGAGGTAGGTATTGGCCTTCTCTTCCACTAAGAAAGGAAGAAAAGCATCATGAGAACATAACCATTATTTACAGAGGTGACAAAAAACAGCCAATCTACTCCTTCATTGTGGTCCCTAGATTCCACTGAATGCTTCAGTCCTCACTACAGGACATTATTTGGATGAACCAATAAAATGACAAAAAGACAATTAGGCTGCCTGAGATCATGGAACACCCCATCCCCATTTTGACTAGATCAAGGAGTTCACAGATCTATTCAAATATTGAATATTTTAAATTGGTAACTAGTAATCAGAAAAGATTAAGTAGCTGGGCTTGGTGGTGCACACCTTTAATATCAGCACTCGAGAGGCAAAGGCAGACAGATCTCTGTGAGTTCAAAGCCAGCCTGGTCTACAAAGTGAGTTCCAGGACAGTCAGGGCTGTTACAGGGAGAAATTGTGATTCAAAAGAAAATAAAAGATGATTAGGATAGATTTAAAGTAGAATGACTTAACAATAAATAAAAACAATAAAAATTAGAGTATAAGAAAAATTGCAGTAAGAAACCAAGAATACTCAGAATTCTGTAATGGTCACAAGTCAAATTTAGTCTCAAGCCAGATTTAAAGGACATAATCCAATTTTCAAAGAATAGGGGCTGGGCACCGACAGAACTGACTACAAACTTCACACACCTGATACCACCTGAAGAGCACAAAGCTGCAGAACTAGAAAACAGTGTTATCAGCTTTTACAAGACCTCAAAAAAAATGTCGAAACCCGATGAGTGAGAATGAGTCAAAGTCCACAAAGAACTTAGAGCCATGGGTTTTTTGTTTTGTTTTGTTTATTCCCTACAGCCTAGGTTGGCCTCAAACTTCCATCAATCTTCCTGCCTCAGCCTCCAAGGATAAAGACTACAGGCACGACCAACCAGCTGTGGCTTATTAGGTAATTTTAGGTAAGAAAACTATCAGCTACCACCTGAAGATGTCTAATTAAATTACCAGCAGAGCTAGCATTCCTTCTCCATCTTTTAAGGGTTTCAGGAAATTTACAAACGGCTACAAAGCTTTAAAAATACTATGTAACTAAGTAACACTATTACCAGCTCCTGAAGAGAGCTCAGAGAAAACAATGAGGCTACGGTGGATGAGCACAGTAATAGTAGTCAGAAGAATGAAATAATGATAGTGTTAAAAAATGAAGTTTAAAAAGCAGCAATCTAAAATAATTTTGTTTTGCTTAATCATAAAAGGTCAATACTAACTTTGAGGGCAAGGCTAGAGCTCATGAAGCCCTGGGTTCGACCCCAGCACAGAACAGTCCAGGTTTAGTAGCACACACCTAGAATCCCAGCACTTGCAAGTGGAGGTGAGAGAATAAGAAGAGTCACCCTCAGCTACACAGCGAGGTCAGCATGAGAGTCAGGAAACACTGTTTCATAAATCAGGGTAGGGAATGGTTTCGAGAGATGGCCAAATAGCCAAGAGTGTATGATGGACAGGCATGAAGACTGTGTAGTTCAGATCCCAGAATCCATGTGAAAAACTTGGGGCATGGCAATGTGTGCACCCCGCCCACTCCCACCTCCCTTCCTCCAGCACTTGGTCTCCTGACTGCTGGGATTGCAGGCATGCGCCACCATGCTCAGTTTAACTGTCTTTAAGCGTTTCTGTATTTTCTAAATGGTCTTTTTTTGATCATACATCCATGAAATGCATTCATCAATGTAATGTCAGCAGACTAGACAGAGAACTGGGCACTTGCCTAGCATGTGCGAGGCTCTTCTGAGGTCAATACCAAACAAGCAAATAACAAGCCACAAAAGTAAAAGAACAGAGACAAGCAATTCTAGGGCAAAGATATCACAGTTACATGTAAAGGAGAGAAGGTAAAAACTACAATTAATGAGGTAAAATGCTGGTAATATTTTCTTAAAAAAAATTTAAAAATACATTTTATATTCAAGACACATTCTGACTACACGTTTGGTTCCTAGCACCCACGCTGGGCAGCTCACTCTAGCTCCAAGTGATTCAACAACCTCTTCTAGAATCTGAGGGCACCTATACTCAAGTGCACATACCTACCCACCCACTCACAATGTATATATATATATGCACACACACAATTATATAACACACCCATTTAAATAAAGTAAAACAGGGCTGGAGAAAGGGCACAGTGGTTAAGAGCAGTTGCAGAGGATCCAGGTTTGGCTCCACAACCACTCCAGTTCATAAATAACTCCAGTTCTAGGGATGCGGTGCCTCTTTTGGTCTCTCCAGACACCAAGCACACAAAGAATAAACTTATTTAAACTCAGGACAAACCATCATATATATAAAATAAAAACAAATCTTTTTAAAAATAGATAAAATATTAAAGTTCTTAAAACGTGAACGAGGGACAAATGAAAAGCCACCATAGCTCGGCATGGTGGCCCACATCTTAAATCCAGCACTCAAGAGGCAGAGGCAGCAGGAGCTCTTTGAGTTCAAAGCCAGCCTGATTTACAAAGTGAGTTCCAGGACAGTCAGGGCTATGTAAAAAACCTGTCTCAAAACAACCACCACCAGAGAGAGAAAGGGCACTATAAAAGAACTTCCTAAAATAATGAAAAGGCTTCTCTACCTGTTGTCAAGAGAAAATTTCACACAAGGTATAAAAATGGCTTAAAACATTTTTTATTACACTTATTTATGAGGGGATCATGTAAATGCAATGGCAGCATAAGTGTGTGGGTTCACAGAGACTTGTGGGAGTAACTTCTCTCCTTTTCTTCTGTGAGTTAAAGGGAGTAAACCAAGATTTTAAGCAACTGTCTTTACCTTCTGAGTTATTTCATTGTCCACAAAGGACTTTTTTTTTCAATTTTTTTTCAATTATTTTTATTTTCAATGATTTTTATTTTATTTATGTATATGGAGGTTTGCCTGCATGAACACGTCTGTGCATCACCTGTGTATACGGTGCCTCCAGAGGCCAGAAGGGCCTCAGCACCCCTGAAGTCAAGTTATAGACATGTGGCTGCTGAGAATGGAACCCAGGTCCTCTGGAAAAGTCGGCAGGGCTCTTCACCATGGAGCCAACTGTACAGCCCCATGAACTTATTTACTGAAACATGATTCTCCGAAATATAGAAACTGCTAAAGTTAGACAAGAAAAAAAAATCAGATAGTTTAATAAAAACTAAGTAAGAAGTTCAGGCCACTTAGAGCCCAGAGGGACATTTGAGGAACATATTTATTTCTCTAAACTTTAATTATATCTTCCATATATTACTTCTAATCACAGAAAAACATATGCTACTTAAAGTCAGTATATGAAGAAACCAAGATTTGATATAAAATATAAGCAAAGAGAATTCTCAAATGCACAGGGTACAAGTACAAATACTACCTTAGCATAGAAAAGTGAGTTAAACAAGAATCTAAGTGTCACAGTAACAATCTACATCTATAAAGTAAGTAAGTATAGAAGTTCCATTAGTAAAAGATTATCTCTAAGAAAACAGCAGTCCCTCCCTAGCTCCCACCCAACACTGCCATAGTTTGAATGTAACTGGTTCCCATAAGCTCTAGAAAGTGGCACTGTTAGGAGGTGTGGCTTAGTTGGAATAGGTATGATTTTGCTGGAAGTGTGTCACTGTGAGGGTGGACTTTGAGGTCTTATATATGCTCAAGCCACACCCAATGTCTCAGTTCACTTCCTGTTGCCTGTGTATTAAGATGTATAACTCTCAGCTCCTTTTCCAGCACCATATCTGCCTGCACACTGCCATGTCTCACCACAATGATAATGAACTTAACTTCTGAACGGTGAGCCACCTAAATAACCAATTAAATGCTTTCCTTGATAAGAGCTCCTGTGGTCATCTCCACAGCAACAGAAACCCTAAGACGTACCCAGGAAACACAGGAAAATGTACAGAACTACAGCTATCTGGCTACAGGAACATCCTGAATTTCTGCTATGCTGAAATTTACCTTAGTCAGCTGAGGTAATCTCCAGCACTTCCTGGAACACAATGGTAGAGGGGAAAAGCAGACTCTAAGACATTTATTTTCAAGAATACGACTGAATATTTCTGCTGGGCGTAGCTGAGCTCCCAAAGGCCACAGTTAGGAATTAGCTAAAACCCAAATGGAAAGCATGGGAGCCCAGTTTCTGTTGCCTCTGTAAATGGTCTGAGGACCTATGAAGGTCTAACTTGTGCAAAACCAAGAGCCAGATCTGAAATCCTCACATTATACGCAGCATACCCCACATATACAATAAAAGTATCTACATATAGACATATCACCAACATACTGTCAGTGTTCAATATGTCTTTCCTCCACTGGAAAGTCAGCTCCCAGAGGTCATATGTTGTAGAATGTTATTTTAAGGTATGTGATTTTTGTTTATGCAGCATTTGTTTAACTCTGTGAAGCTGTGATTCTTTGCCTGTCTAAAACATCTGATGGTCCAATAAAGAGCTGAATGGCCAATAGTGAGGCAGGAGCAAGGACAGGCAGGGTTGGCAGGCAGAGAGAATAAATAGAAGGAGAAATCTGGGAAGAAGAAGCAGCAAGAGAACAAGAAAAGGACATCATGGGCCAAGCACCCAGCCAGCCATGGAGTAAGACTGAACATAAGACATAAACGTAGTAAGAAAAGGAAAAAGCCCAGAGGCAAAAGGTAGCTGGGATAAGTTAAGAAAAGCTGGTCAGCAGCAAGCCCAGCTAAGGCCAGGCATTCATAACTAAGAATGAGCCTCCATAAATAATTTATCTGGGGGCTAGTTGGTGGGCCCCCCAAAGAGTAAAAACAACAGTCATGACTCTGTAGCAGCTCAGTTCCTAACAGAGTGGCTGGCTCTAATTTCTTTAGTAATTGGTTCGTTGAGTAAACAAATGAAAAGAATTAAAAACAGGGGAACTGAAGTGAATATGGAAAAATATATAATAAAGCTCATCAATTGTAATTACAGAACTTAAAAACATTAACACCACTATAAAAATGCAACAAGGAAAGCCATTATAAATCAGGAAGAAA